GGGCTCTGAAGACCATCGTGAGTTTAGACATCACCACCAGTAAGCAGGTTCCAGGCCAGAAGCAGCAGTAAGACTGCACGTGCCACACTGACGTGCACACTTAAGTGTTAGAACTGCAGGTTCTGCAGAAAAGCCGAGTTCAGCGTTATAAACAGTATATATAAACACGTGTATGGGAGATTCGGAGCGCGTCTGGCACTGCCACACACCTCCTCTCCACGTGGCCACGCTCCCCCCCGTCACCGCGGGGACTTGCACGCACCTGAAGCAGGGGGAGAGATGCACAGACATGTTCTTGTGGCGCTTTTCGAAGCGGTTGTACTTGCGGATGTAATGCAGGTAGTCCCGACGGATGACAATGGTGCGCTGCATCTTCATCTTGGTAACCACACCTGGGCGACAGAAGTGGGGGGACGTGACAGCGATGAGCATAAGGAAGCACACGCTGACCAGCGGTAAACCGGGCTGGAGAGTTGGGTTGTAACTAATAGAGGACAGAGATTTTTACAAGAGCTATCCAAGAGGATCGGCAGGGACGAGTGGTATCTGACACCCGAAGGCAGTACCCTTCAATTCCAGTAATTTCTCCCTATCTACCTTATTAATTAACCGTAACGCATCCTTTGAGGGGTGCTCTGGGACCCTAGTTCTACCAGGATAAAAGGGCTTTCTTACTGCCAGGCTACAAGACTCCAATCTGTATTACAAAACAAATTACTTTTCTTGTCTTTTTGAAGACCCCTAAGCACACTGTAACACCTTTCCTAGAACCAGTGCTCCCTGCATTATCTGCTACTGTGTTACATCAACACCTGCACCACAGAACAGCACATCTGGAAGGACAGCTGCCAGCAACTGGTCCTTTCGCTGGGCATCAGCAAAGCCATACGGCACTGTCGTCAAAGCCCCTTCACCATGAGACTTGGAAGACCATCGTGAGAGAACAGCATCATGTGCAGCTCAAGGACCACAGCGGAGTTCCCAGGCAGCTCCAGACCGGCACTCACAGCTCGTGGGCTTCGACTGCTTACCCACTTCAGGGCAGTGACGGGACCACGCCTGTACTGTTACTCCTTAAGGAACCTTCACAACTCACCTGACAGGATTCGGCCACGGATAGAGACATTACCAGTGAAGGGACACTTCTTGTCGATGTAGGTGCCCTCGATCGCCTACAAAGAGAAACGATTGCCAGCATCTGGATGGACAAACAGCTCAGGCAGCACCGAAGCTCAGCAACCGCGCTCAGCGGCGCCACGCCTACGCCAGCCTACGAGCGGACACACTTGGCAGGACCGTCACGGCCTTTGGGGTGCGGCGAGAGCAGATGCCGGGCCCGGGGAGCACAACCAGGAGGGGGGCAGCCCTGCCCCCGCCTGGGTCCCGCAGACGGCCACGCCTTACCTCCTTGGGAGTCTTGAAGCCCAGGCCGATGTTTTTGTAGTAGCGGGGCAGCTTCTCTTTGCCACCCTCGCCCAGCAGCACCCGCTTCTTGTTCTGGAAGATGGTGGGCTGCTTCTGGTAGGCCCGCTCGGTCTGAGGGAGGGAGAGAGGGCAGC